GGATCGGTGTGCACTAGCGCCGGGCCTTTGACACTAGGATTGGTGTGCACTAGCGCCGGGCCTGTGACACTAGGATCGGTGTGCACTAGCGCCGGGCCTGTGACACTAGGATCGGTGTGCACTAGCACTGGGCCTGTGGCACCAGGGAGCAGTGTGTACTAGTGCCGGGCCTGTGACACTAGGATCGGTGTGCACTAGCACTGGGCCTGTGGCACCAGGGAGCAGTGTGTACTGTGCCGGGCCTGTGACACTAGGATCGGTGTGCACTAGCGCCGGGCCTGTGACACTAGGACTGGTGTGCACTAGCGCCGGGCCTGTGACACTAGGACTGGTGTGCACAAGCGCTGGGCCTGCGGCACCAGGGAGCAGTGTGCTAATGAAGCCCGGGAAATTCAAATCCCGGGCTTCATTAGCAAGTTCGGTATGCAAGTTCGAACTAAAGCAGTGTGCACTAGCGCTGGGCCTATGGCACCAGGGAGCAGTGTGCACTAGCGCCGGGCCTGTGACACTAGGACTGGTGTGCACAAGCGCCTGGCCTGTGACACTAGGATCGGTGTGCACTAGCGCCGTGCCTGTGACACTAGGACCGGTGTGCACAGTGTGCTAATGAAGCCCGGGAAATTCAAATCCCGGGCTTCATTAGCAAGTTCGGTATGCAAGTTCGAACTAGGGGGGTAGTGTAGACATACCCTCCGTGCTTAAGGTCTGAAAACTAGAAGAAAATGTTATTGGAACCCAAATTAAGTATAGCCCATTTTTGTTAAAACACTGCAAATGATAAGAGCTTATAGAGATGAATAAAAATATGCATTTGACTCCCCATTACAAATTGCTCAACATTTAAATGGAAAAAATGAACAATCCCTTTTTTAAAGAAATCCAAACAAAAATTAACTTCAAAAAATAACCCTGTCTTATTGAAAAATAGTCATTTCAATAAAGCATGTGCATTTCCCTTTTATTTAAAAAAACGTAATTGAGTTTAGGAACCAGCAATGCCAGGTAAATCGGCTAGCTAACAAGAACTGTAGAAAGCACAGATCCTGCATCCGGGCTGGAACCAATCCCTACCTGATAGCAGTCACAAAGAAATCTCCCCGTAAGCAGTTGATTCCTGACGTGTGCCACGGTTTCTTGTACCTCCATTGAAGTACCCGGTGCTGCCGGTGTTGGGGAGAGGCTGTCGGACGAGAGGGACAGCGTGTCAGCCCGGGCACGGGCGTGCTAAATTCCCGTGTCAGCCGTGAGTGGATTCTCCCCGAGAGTGGAAAATGCCCCGTTCCCGGAGAAGGCGCAGGGCTGGAAGTGGCAGGGTGCGGCTGGCGGAGCAGGTGCTGAGCTGGTCACGGTTTGTGGTTGCAGGCGCCGGTGACGTTCGAGGACGTGGCGGTCTATTTCTCGCCGGAGGAGTGGAAGGAGCTGGCGGACTGGCAGAAAGAGCTGTACTGGGCTGTGATGAAGGAGAATTACGAGCTCGTCACCTCCTTAGGTAAAGACACGTTTGTGCTACGGGGGGGCTGTGCGGCCTGTGAAAATCCGGGTCACCGGACTGGAGTGTGGCAGTTGTGTCTCTGGCCATCCACAGCTCCGCTGGGAGGGAACGTGCTCCCGGTAGCGAGGTCCTGCAGTCACATGAAGCGCTCTCCATCTCCGAGAACATACCCCCGCCTGCAGCTAAACTGTCCCGTCCAGTGGACGGTTCAGGGCAGTCGCCGGGGGCCCGCACTTTGGGGAGGTCTGGGGGGGCTGGTGGCAGAATGGGGGCAGGGGCTGAGGCAGGGCGGGGGTTGTCCTGGGCCCTGCTCTCCGCTAGGGACGGCCCAGGTGGGACCAGGGCAGGGACCATCTGACGTCTCTTCGCCATGTGGCTTATTCAGTGTCTGGTAGAATAGGACCCTGGTCTTCGATTGCCTCCCTGGGTGCCCCTGCTCTCCAGACCGGAACGCTCCCAGCGGTGACACATGAGCGTGACTCGCAGTCCCTCACAGCCCCCTAACACCGGGGCACAAACCCCAGCCAGACCCCAGCTGCGCATCTCTTAGTCCCTGGCTGAGACGTGGGATACTTCGCCCGAGCAGGGACCCGGCCGGTCAGCATCTGGGACGTAGTGGGGGGACCTTGCTGGTTGCTGGGCTTGGGCTGTGGGTGACCCCACTGGCTGCTGCCTGGACCACGGCCCAGCAGAGTAGCTGATGGGACAGGGAGGTGCCTGTTCGACCGGTTACCTCCCAGGGAGAGGAACGAAGGAAGGTGGGATGCCGCCCCTGGATGGGGGGCAGGGCTGGAAGGGACGGCTTTTAGGTTTCTGTCTGGGATCATGGAGGAGGCAGCCTAGGAAGGGGCTGGAGTTTAGGGGCCCAGTCTCCCCCATCTCAAGGGGGGCTGAGGCATCCTAGCCCTGCCCTGGAACCAGATTCCATCTGTGCTGTGCTGTATCCTGGAGGAGCAATAAACTCCCCTGTTCTACTGGCTGGGGGAGTCTGTTCGTGCCGCTACGGGGGTGCAGGAGATGGGGACCCCGACGCGCCCTCACAGCATCACCCAAACAGCGATTGGGAGATTCCAGCTACGTTTCTCCCCGGGAGGTTTAACAGCCCCTGGGACTTTGCAGTGATTAGAAACTTCGGTTTAAATGAGGGTTTTTTGCCACTCCCCCGTGGAATAACAGCTGGCCTGTTGTGTTCTCTCTAGTAGATGATGAGACTGTGAATGCCAGAATGGAGGAGAAGATTCGGGAGGAGGATGCTGAGCCCCTGCTTCCAGGCAAGCCCCTTTCCCTGAAACTGGAAGAGAACGTTTCCCCGAGCTCGGTGAAGGCGAAGACCTGCCTGACTCGGAGCAGACTCCAGACCGCGCAGAGAAACTCTTCCGGCGACACACGAGAGAGCCCAGCAAGCAGCACGGCTCCGCAGAAGTCCCAGGTGGCGGAGAGACCCGACACCCTTCAGGAGCGCGAGCGAGGCTGCCTGGAGACCAGTCTCCTGGCTCGGGCAAGGACCCACAGGAGGGACCGGCCGTTTCCCTGCAGCGAGTGCGGGAAATGCTTCTCCCAGAAGGGGGACCTGAAGATCCACCTGCGGATCCACACGGGGGAGCGGCCGTACGCGTGCACCGAGTGCGGGAAGCGCTTCACCCAGCGCGGGTACCTGAAGATCCACCTGCGGCTGCACACGGGGGAGAAACCTTTTCCGTGCGCCGAGTGTGGGAAGAGGTTCCCCTCCAAGGGGGATCTCCGAATGCACCAGCGGAAGCACTCGGGGGAGCGGCCCTTCGCCTGCGCCGAGTGGCCAAGTACCTGCGCATCCACCGGCGCATGCACACCGGGGAGCGGCCCTTCGCCTGCGCCGAGTGCGGGAAGAGCTTCACTCGCAAAGTGGACCTGAGAGTCCACCAGCGGAAGCACACGGGGGAGCGGCCCTTCGCCTGCGCCGAGTGCGGGAAGAGCTTCACTCGCAAAGTGGACCTGAGAGTCCACCAGCGGAAGCACACGGGGGAGCGGCCCTTCGCCTGCGCCGAGTGCGGGAAGAGCTTCACTCGCAAAGTGGACCTGAGAGTCCACCAGCGGAAGCACACGGGGGAGCGGCCCTTCGCCTGCGCCGAGTGCGGGAAGAGCTTCACTCGCAAAGTGGACCTGAGAGTCCACCAGCGGAAGCACACGGGGGAGCGGCCCTTCGCCTGCGCCGAGTGCGGGAAGAGCTTCACTCGCAAAGTGGACCTGAGAGTCCACCAGCGGAAGCACACGGGGGAGCGGCCCTTCGCCTGCGCCGAGTGCGGGAAGAGCTTCACTCGCAAAGTGGACCTGAGAGTCCACCAGCGGAAGCACACGGGGGAGCGGCCCTTCGCCTGCGCCGAGTGCGGGAAGAGCTTCACTCGCAAAGTGGACCTGAGAGTCCACCAGCGGAAGCACACGGGGGAGCGGCCCTTCGCCTGCGCCGAGTGCGGGAAGAGCTTCACTCGCAAAGTGGACCTGAGAGTCCACCAGCGGAAGCACACGGGGGAGCGGCCCTTCGCCTGCGCCGAGTGCGGGAAGAGCTTCACTCGCAAAGTGGACCTGAGAGTCCACCAGCGGAAGCACACGGGGGAGCGGCCCTTCGCCTGCGCCGAGTGCGGGAAGAGCTTCACTCGCAAAGTGGACCTGAGAGTCCACCAGCGGAAGCACACGGGGGAGCGGCCCTTCGCCTGCGCCGAGTGCGGGAAGAGCTTCACTCGCAAAGTGGACCTGAGAGTCCACCAGCGGAAGCACACGGGGGAGCGGCCCTTCGCCTGCGCCGAGTGCGGGAAGAGCTTCACTCGCAAAGTGGACCTGAGAGTCCACCAGCGGAAGCACACGGGGGAGCGGCCCTTCGCCTGCGCCGAGTGCGGGAAGAGCTTCACTCGCAAAGTGGACCTGAGAGTCCACCAGCGGAAGCACACGGGGGAGCGGCCCTTCGCCTGCGCCGAGTGCGGGAAGAGCTTCACTCGCAAAGTGGACCTGAGAGTCCACCAGCGGAAGCACACGGGGGAGCGGCCCTTCGCCTGCGCCGAGTGCGGGAAGAGCTTCACTCGCAAAGTGGACCTGAGAGTCCACCAGCGGAAGCACACGGGGGAGCGGCCCTTCGCCTGCGCCGAGTGCGGGAAGAGCTTCACTCGCAAAGTGGACCTGAGAGTCCACCAGCGGAAGCACACGGGGGAGCGGCCCTTCGCCTGCGCCGAGTGCGGGAAGAGCTTCACTCGCAAAGTGGACCTGAGAGTCCACCAGCGGAAGCACACGGGGGAGCGGCCCTTCGCCTGCGCCGAGTGCGGGAAGAGCTTCACTCGCAAAGTGGACCTGAGAGTCCACCAGCGGAAGCACACGGGGGAGCGGCCCTTCGCCTGCGCCGAGTGCGGGAAGAGCTTCACTCGCAAAGTGGACCTGAGAGTCCACCAGCGGAAGCACACGGGGGAGCGGCCCTTCGCCTGCGCCGAGTGCGGGAAGAGCTTCACTCGCAAAGTGGACCTGAGAGTCCACCAGCGGAAGCACACGGGGGAGCGGCCCTTCGCCTGCGCCGAGTGCGGGAAGAGCTTCACTCGCAAAGTGGACCTGAGAGTCCACCAGCGGAAGCACACGGGGGAGCGGCCCTTCGCCTGCGCCGAGTGCGGGAAGAGCTTCACTCGCAAAGTGGACCTGAGAGTCCACCAGCGGAAGCACACGGGGGAGCGGCCCTTCGCCTGCGCCGAGTGCGGGAAGAGCTTCACTCGCAAAGTGGACCTGAGAGTCCACCAGCGGAAGCACACGGGGGAGCGGCCCTTCGCCTGCGCCGAGTGCGGGAAGAGCTTCACTCGCAAAGTGGACCTGAGAGTCCACCAGCGGAAGCACACGGGGGAGCGGCCCTTCGCCTGCGCCGAGTGCGGGAAGAGCTTCACTCGCAAAGTGGACCTGAGAGTCCACCAGCGGAAGCACACGGGGGAGCGGCCCTTCGCCTGCGCCGAGTGCGGGAAGAGCTTCACTCGCAAAGTGGACCTGAGAGTCCACCAGCGGAAGCACACGGGGGAGCGGCCCTTCGCCTGCGCCGAGTGCGGGAAGAGCTTCACTCGCAAAGTGGACCTGAGAGTCCACCAGCGGAAGCACACGGGGGAGCGGCCCTTCGCCTGCGCCGAGTGCGGGAAGAGCTTCACTCGCAAAGTGGACCTGAGAGTCCACCAGCGGAAGCACACGGGGGAGCGGCCCTTCGCCTGCGCCGAGTGCGGGAAGAGCTTCACTCGCAAAGTGGACCTGAGAGTCCACCAGCGGAAGCACACGGGGGAGCGGCCCTTCGCCTGCGCCGAGTGCGGGAAGAGCTTCACTCGCAAAGTGGACCTGAGAGTCCACCAGCGGAAGCACACGGGGGAGCGGCCCTTCGCCTGCGCCGAGTGCGGGAAGAGCTTCACTCGCAAAGTGGACCTGAGAGTCCACCAGCGGAAGCACACGGGGGAGCGGCCCTTCGCCTGCGCCGAGTGCGGGAAGAGCTTCACTCGCAAAGTGGACCTGAGAGTCCACCAGCGGAAGCACACGGGGGAGCGGCCCTTCGCCTGCGCCGAGTGCGGGAAGAGCTTCACTCGCAAAGTGGACCTGAGAGTCCACCAGCGGAAGCACACGGGGGAGCGGCCCTTCGCCTGCGCCGAGTGCGGGAAGAGCTTCACTCGCAAAGTGGACCTGAGAGTCCACCAGCGGAAGCACACGGGGGAGCGGCCCTTCGCCTGCGCCGAGTGCGGGAAGAGCTTCACTCGCAAAGTGGACCTGAGAGTCCACCAGCGGAAGCACACGGGGGAGCGGCCCTTCGCCTGCGCCGAGTGCGGGAAGAGCTTCACTCGCAAAGTGGACCTGAGAGTCCACCAGCGGAAGCACACGGGGGAGCGGCCCTTCGCCTGCGCCGAGTGCGGGAAGAGCTTCACTCGCAAAGTGGACCTGAGAGTCCACCAGCGGAAGCACACGGGGGAGCGGCCCTTCGCCTGCGCCGAGTGCGGGAAGAGCTTCACTCGCAAAGTGGACCTGAGAGTCCACCAGCGGAAGCACACGGGGGAGCGGCCCTTCGCCTGCGCCGAGTGCGGGAAGAGCTTCACTCGCAAAGTGGACCTGAGAGTCCACCAGCGGAAGCACACGGGGGAGCGGCCCTTCGCCTGCGCCGAGTGCGGGAAGAGCTTCACTCGCAAAGTGGACCTGAGAGTCCACCAGCGGAAGCACACGGGGGAGCGGCCCTTCGCCTGCGCCGAGTGCGGGAAGAGCTTCACTCGCAAAGTGGACCTGAGAGTCCACCAGCGGAAGCACACGGGGGAGCGGCCCTTCGCCTGCGCCGAGTGCGGGAAGAGCTTCACTCGCAAAGTGGACCTGAGAGTCCACCAGCGGAAGCACACGGGGGAGCGGCCCTTCGCCTGCGCCGAGTGCGGGAAGAGCTTCACTCGCAAAGTGGACCTGAGAGTCCACCAGCGGAAGCACACGGGGGAGCGGCCCTTCGCCTGCGCCGAGTGCGGGAAGAGCTTCACTCGCAAAGTGGACCTGAGAGTCCACCAGCGGAAGCACACGGGGGAGCGGCCCTTCGCCTGCGCCGAGTGCGGGAAGAGCTTCACTCGCAAAGTGGACCTGAGAGTCCACCAGCGGAAGCACACGGGGGAGCGGCCCTTCGCCTGCGCCGAGTGCGGGAAGAGCTTCACTCGCAAAGTGGACCTGAGAGTCCACCAGCGGAAGCACACGGGGGAGCGGCCCTTCGCCTGCGCCGAGTGCGGGAAGAGCTTCACTCGCAAAGTGGACCTGAGAGTCCACCAGCGGAAGCACACGGGGGAGCGGCCCTTCGCCTGCGCCGAGTGCGGGAAGAGCTTCACTCGCAAAGTGGACCTGAGAGTCCACCAGCGGAAGCACACGGGGGAGCGGCCCTTCGCCTGCGCCGAGTGCGGGAAGAGCTTCACTCGCAAAGTGGACCTGAGAGTCCACCAGCGGAAGCACACGGGGGAGCGGCCCTTCGCCTGCGCCGAGTGCGGGAAGAGCTTCACTCGCAAAGTGGACCTGAGAGTCCACCAGCGGAAGCACACGGGGGAGCGGCCCTTCGCCTGCGCCGAGTGCGGGAAGAGCTTCACTCGCAAAGTGGACCTGAGAGTCCACCAGCGGAAGCACACGGGGGAGCGGCCCTTCGCCTGCGCCGAGTGCGGGAAGAGCTTCACTCGCAAAGTGGACCTGAGAGTCCACCAGCGGAAGCACACGGGGGAGCGGCCCTTCGCCTGCGCCGAGTGCGGGAAGAGCTTCACTCGCAAAGTGGACCTGAGAGTCCACCAGCGGAAGCACACGGGGGAGCGGCCCTTCGCCTGCGCCGAGTGCGGGAAGAGCTTCACTCGCAAAGTGGACCTGAGAGTCCACCAGCGGAAGCACACGGGGGAGCGGCCCTTCGCCTGCGCCGAGTGCGGGAAGAGCTTCACTCGCAAAGTGGACCTGAGAGTCCACCAGCGGAAGCACACGGGGGAGCGGCCCTTCGCCTGCGCCGAGTGCGGGAAGAGCTTCACTCGCAAAGTGGACCTGAGAGTCCACCAGCGGAAGCACACGGGGGAGCGGCCCTTCGCCTGCGCCGAGTGCGGGAAGAGCTTCACTCGCAAAGTGGACCTGAGAGTCCACCAGCGGAAGCACACGGGGGAGCGGCCCTTCGCCTGCGCCGAGTGCGGGAAGAGCTTCACCACCAAGGGCTACCTGAAGATCCACCAGAAGATCCACGCGGACGGGACGCCCTTCATCTGCAGCGCCTGCGGGAAGAGCTTCGCCACCACGCGCTACCTCAAGATGCACCAGAGGAGCCACGCGGGGGAGACCACGTTCACCTGCACCGAGTGCGGGGAGAGCTTCGCCCAGAAGGGCTATCTTCGCATCCACCAGCGCATGCACACCGGGGAGGGGCTCTTCCCCTGCCCCGACTGCGGGAAAAGCTTCACGGCCAAGTACCTGCGCATCCACCGGCGCATGCACACCGGGGAGCGGCCCTTCGCCTGCGCCGAGTGTGGGAAACGCTTCACCGCGGAGGGCTCTCTGAAAATCCACCTCAAAATCCACAGCCGGGTGCTGCTGAGCATATGCGCCGAGTGCGGGAAAAGCTTCTCCTCCCTGCGCTATCTCAAGGTGCACCAGAAAACCCACGCCCGGGAGCCAGCGCCGCTCCCCGGCGCACGTGGGGGAGGCCTCCCGCAGGGGGCGCTGGCGAGGGGCCCCCAGAAAGGCCCCCGAGAAATGATCTCCTTCACCTGCAAGGACTGCGGGAAAAGCTTCTGCCAGAAGTCTAACTTGCTCACGCACCAGAAGAGCCACGCGCGGGAGAGGCCGGGTCCCACGCGCACCCCCCGCCCCGGCCCTGCGGCCGCTCCGCCGGCCTCTGTCAAGTTGAGCCCCGTGGATCTCGTTGTGAGAGCAGGGAAGGATTGTCTGGAGCCCGACCCCTCCCCCCCGGTCGGGGAGTTCAAGCCCAGCTTCCAGTTTGCACCGCAGGCCTGCCCGCTCCCCCTGGGAGTCCATCTCGGTGCTTCCTGAGCCCGCGGGTGCCCTGCTCCTGCCTGGCGACGCCCCCCGGGGCTGTGGCTACCTGTGCATGACGTAGTGCCCCCGGGCACTCCTGAGTCCCGGCCCCCAGCTGCTCCCTCTCGAGGTAGCGGGACGGTCCCTGGTCCCACAGTGCCCTGGGGGAGGGGAGACTCCCTTGCGGCTGCCACGGGCTTTGCTTTCCCCCCCTCCTACCCGTGCACCGAGCCTGGCTTTTAAGGTGCAGGCGGGTTCAGTGATTTTCTGGTAGAAGCCCTCTGAAACCGAACGACAGATTCCCGGTATCGCTCGCTCGCTCGCTCGCCGATTGAATTGAATTGTCTTTCCTGTCCGCGGTGCAGTCGCCTGCGCAGTGCAGATCCTTCCCCGTCCAGTCCTCGTGTCCGGAGCATCCCGGCGAACTCGGCACCGCGCACGCTCCCCGGCAGAGCCCAGCGCCGGGCACGGGGCGGAACTCAAGCTTCCCCTTTTCGGCAGCTGCACTGGGACGGCGGAGCCCCCGGGCCCCTCCC